CCGCGCGGAGTCCGGGCTGCGGCGGCTCCTGCACTCGCCCCACGCGGGCACCGGGACTGCTCCGCCGCGCCACGGACTGCCCCGCACCAGCGCCGCGCCCCTGGGCTCGCAGCCTCTTTGCTAGAGAGTTGTGTTTTTTTTCCTCCTTCTTCTTTTTTTTTTTTTAATTTGATTTTAGCGACAGCTTTGCCAGTCTCCTTTGGGGTCTTAACACGCAAGCGTACACCATTTCACTGTGGACATTACACCCTCTTACAGATATGGGAGACATGGGAGACCCACCAAAAAGTAAGGCGGAATTTTTAAAGCGTTGTTGGAATACATTGTGCTGTCTATTGTCATGGTGTCAGGCAGGGAGCTGATCATCGCAACTTCAGGCGATCGCTAGAGAAGTGCCTTTGTTGCCGTGCCTGCATGCTTTGCTGTGTTTGAACCTCGTAGCCGTGTCTTTCCATAGCCTCGTGCCCTGCTTTCTGCCTAAACTTTGGGGAGGAGGCAGGTTGATCTCTCTCTCTCTCTCTTTTTTTTTTTTTTTTTTTTGGAGCGGCGTCGAAAGCCAGGGAAGGCTTAGCTCGGCTCGGTGTTCAGCCTGTCTTGAATATCTAGCACCTAAGTCTCCGCAGGCGAACGAGCATCAGGCTTGCACAAGAGAGCAAGTGCCCGTGTAACGATGCCTGTTCTCGGGTCCCGCGGCAGAGGGTTTAAAGGGAGGCAGAGCCATGCACGCCTTCAGCTCGCAGCCTTTCCAATCCAGCCCTTCCTTGGCGAAGCAAACGGTAGACATGCAGAGAGATGCAAAAAGCTGCAGCACTGGCCCCAGTTAAGAGGGAAATAATCATAATAAAACCAACAACAGAAAGAAAGAAAAGCCCAGCTCGGCAGCTCGAAGTTTAGCTGCAGTGCGAGGCTTGCAAAATAGAGAGAGAAAAAAAAAAAGAAAAAAGAAAAGAAAGAAATAAAAATAAGCCACCTTGAAAACAAAATACTCCGATCTGGATCTGAACACCCGTTCCGCCTCCTTCCTAAGTGAGGCACGGTGTGATGGCACACTTCAATTACCATCCCAAAGTGCAAGACTTAACACACAGACACACACACACACACACACACACACACACACACGCTCCCGAGTAACGCCGTAGAAGGGAACGCCACTAAAAGTGTGTTTATCTCTGTAGGAGAGTAAACGCTTCGTCAATCATGTATTTATTTTCATTTCAGAAAAACGTCTGATTTCCCTATGTGTTGGTTGCGGCAATCAAATTCACGATCAGTATATTCTGAGGGTTTCTCCGGATTTGGAATGGCATGCGGCGTGTTTGAAGTGTGCAGAGTGTAATCAGTATTTGGACGAGACCTGTACGTGCTTTGTTAGGGATGGCAAAACCTACTGTAAAAGAGATTATATCAGGTACGCCATTTACGTTGTTTAATTATTCGCTTCGATTTGACGATCGAAAGAGCAGAGGGCCAGTTGCTTTAAGTTATTTCCCCCCAAGGTGCCAGGGAGGGGGGCAAAAAGTTGCAGACGAGTTTCTTCCAGCCATTATTTTTATGACTGTTATTTCAAGAAAAATCGCATTTGCCCATAGCGAGGACCTCGTGTGCAATTCTCCTGCATCAAGACATAGCTTGCTGCGTTGAGTGTTGTGACCCTAACAAAGCAGGGGAGCTTCTAGTGACAGAAAAAAAAATGTATATGTCTTAAATAGTCTAGGAGCAGCACAGATCGCTTTTAAACATTTACCTGAGAAATGCAGCTCTGTGAGGGCTTGCAGAAGTCTCCAGCAAGGAAAGGGACACGAGGAATTAAAGACACTTCAAACATGTATGCACTAAAAAAAATAAAATAAACCGATTTATGCCAGGCCAAGGGTTTTATTTTATTGTATTGTATTTTATTTTTTAAATAAGGCGAGGTTCTGTTCAGTTCTGAAGGCGGGATCCCTTTATTTGAGAGGTTAAACGCTAGACTAAAACGTTTCTTTGCTAAAATAACTGACATTTAATCTTTTTAAATATTAACCCCTTGGAGATATGTGACTGCCTTTTCTTTCTTATCTTATCTGTGCTGATGAATTAGACAGAGCAGATCAAATTGCCCATCATCTGTTCGCGAACAATTGGGTATATTTAGATAATGGAACTGCTTCCTTCCTCGCATTAAAATCTGGTAACTGATAAAATGTGAACGTTGCCAATCCCGACACCGGAGCGAAAACACCGCAGAAACTGGGAGGGGGCTGATGATTTAGACACTTGATCCGCTTCTAACCTTTGGTGTCATCTGCTTAGGTCGGTGTATGGCAGCACTGTTGTGTATCCTCGCTGAGGTCTAGCCAGGGGGTGTCCGCGGGAAATTTCAGGGCTAAATATCCATGGACGATGCCTTCCTAGTGTCATTTTATTCCGGGTTGGAAAGAAACACGCTCGAGTCTCTTTCTCCCAGCACGTCCCTTCCCTGCCCAGCGGGTTCCTCCGACCAGGCGGTGCAAATTCCCCTCCAAATTTTGCAGTGATAAAAACAAATCTCCTTCCTTTCCCCGCTTGACTTTAAAGTTAGCTTGGGGTCTGTTCTGGCTCTGCCGGGTTGAAATAAAGGGAAGGCAAACACCGGGGACTTATCTGAGCCTTCAGCTCCTGCGGGAATTTCACTCAGCAGAAGCGATGGGCCAAACAACATGTGCAACTTAAAAAGACCAAGTTTCCGCGAAACCCGCTCCTGTGGCAGGGATCGCTCAATATTCCAAATCGCTAGCATTTAAATCGCTAAAACAACAGCATGTGACAAGGAACTGAGTTCGACTCTGGGCCAAGGAAAAATTATTTAAAAAAAGACCCCCCCCCCAAACTGTTCCCTATACATTTGGCGACTGCCGTTTTGTTGTTGAGTTGCTGGTCCACACACACCACATCATGTATTTCAGAAGTTGGTAGCAATTCACAACCGACTACAGACTGGTGTGTGGCACACATGCACCAAGAGGGCGTAAGCATGCATGTGGACACACACACAAGGACCCATCAGCAGTCTGTTTATAATGGGGGGAAGGGACCTGGTGCGTGTATTCGCTTCTTTCTCTATATCACCACGTTATTTATGAGTGTGTATAAGTCCTCGTAGGGGCTGGCATATATTTTTAGAATTAGACTCACTTGACCCTTTTAATCAAAGAAGTTAGCAAGGAGCCTCCGAGCTACAACTGAAAGGGACCTACTTCTCTTCCCCTGAGATGGGAAGAAGGGCAAATCTGCACCCCTCGCCCACACCCTCTCCTAGCTGGAAGAGGACTCCGGCTGTACTGCAGCAGCTGGGGCAGGAGGGGAAAAACAGAGACGCGGCTGATTTGCTGCGTGGAAGGAAGTTTTCCTCTCCCGTGTGGAGGAGGCTGCAGCGCTCGGGTCAAGGTGGCGGTGCTGGGAGTAGGAGAAGGCGCCGCAAGGTTGCACGGCGGGGGGCGGCGGAGTGAGTGTCCCAGCCTGTTTCAGCGCCTTCGAGACGAAAAAGAGTGGGGGTGCAAAATGAAGCCTGGAGCCGGAGGAGAGCCTTCAAGGCCTGGGGGTGGGGAAGTTAGCTCTTGTGTGTTGTTAGAGGGGAAAGCTTAGGGCTTGGGAAAGGGGCAAAACTCCCGAGAGGCTCCCTCTGAGCAAGCCCCCGGCTGCCCCGGGGAGGGCAGGGTGCCCCTGGGCTGCGCCGCCCGGGCCCCCTCCGGCCCCTTCCCCGCCTCTCGCCGCGAGGCGATGCGGGCGCAGAGCGAGGCCGCGCGGGCCGGTCCCCTGCGCTGCCGGGCGGCGGTGCGGAGCGGGGCTGCAGTGACTCCAGTGAAACCTCTTGCTTCTTTCCCCCCTTCCTCCCTCCCTTCCCACTTTCCCCCGGGCCGGGCCCCGCTCAGGTTATACGGCATCAAGTGCGCCAAGTGCAGCATCGGCTTCAGCAAGAACGACTTCGTGATGCGGGCCCGCTCCAAGGTGTACCACATCGAGTGTTTCCGCTGCGTGGCCTGCAGCCGCCAGCTCATCCCCGGGGATGAATTCGCGCTGCGGGAAGACGGCCTCTTCTGCCGGGCGGACCACGACGTGGTGGAGAGGGCCAGCCTGGGCGCGGGAGACCCGCTCAGCCCCCTGCATCCCGCCAGGCCGCTGCAGATGGCAGGTACTGCCCCCTCCCCCGCCGCTGCCGCAGCCGGGCGCGGAGCTCCCTCCCTGGCCCCGGGGACCAGGACAGCACACAGGGACTGGCCCTCGCTTAGGCCGGGCGGGGCTGGCCCGTGCGCTGCGGGTAGCCGGGCACAGCCCGAGCGACGTGTGGGTCGCATATAAACAGAGATTAGATGCAGACCTATTTATAACCACACGCCTGCCACCATTCTGCCTAGGCACACAATGGCCATGCATGGCAAATACAGGGCATATGGCTGGGCACACGCGCCGAGCTAGACTGTGCATACAGGCAGGGCCACACGTTTCTCTGCAGGAATTGGATTAGCTTTCCGAGGGTTTCCTATAACCACACACGTGCAGTCGCTCTGTATTATCTGTTACACAGGCAGAGCCCTAGAATACACCTAGACGACAGGGTTACCCACGCACAGTGATATGTGTGCACATGTATCTACACACACGCATTTGTTTTTATCCATAGGTTCATACATCTCTGGAACTAATAGGTGTGTGCGTTTGTATGCACATGCATAGGTTTATACTGTGTGTGTGTGTGTGTGTGTGTGTGTGTGTGTGTGTGTACGTACACATAACAGATACACACCTAGAGAGATCTGTATTGAAACCTTGAAACAAGTGGTTTCCCTTTAGGTGTTGGGTGGATCTTTGTCTGCAGAGACCACTAGTTCACGTGGAGCATACCTTTTCCTGCTTTGAAACTGAGACATTTGGAAGTCGAGGTAGATGTTTACAACAGGCCTACCCGAAGTCACACATCTTTTTTTTTTTTTTTTTTTGGTTTGTTTTTTTTTGTTCGGTCAATTCTTTTGAAACACGTGGAACAGGCTGTTTTTAACATTGGTGAAAGCAGGTTCCGAGAAGAGATGGACTTAACTACAGGCGAGCACTTAGGTTGTAATTTAAAACTGTCAACAAGCTAATCTTCAGTAATTGCCTTTTAAAGCGATTCTTGCTTCCTTGAAACATTTTATGCGGTTTGATCAGAATTTCATTCCCAGCTCGGCCCGGGAACTTCAGACTCCCCAGCCTATGAAGTTCCCTTCCCGATTTTTGGACCGGGCCTCCGATTTTTATAGAGGCCGAGCTTCAAGGAAGGGGCACATCTCTCCCAGACAAGTAAGGTTAAATAAAACAAGGTTGGCATGGAGAGCTGCTGTTTGGATGAGTGTAGATCTGAAAGGTATTTACAAAACCCTGCCTCATGTTTACACGGGAACATGTCCCCCTCCTGAACCGATTTATAAATAGAAAAGAAGCAGAAAGTTGATCACTGCAGCATTGGGGGCTATTTTTTGCAGCCTTTTTAAAGTCTGTTTGTGGAAGGATCCAAAATGTGTGCAGATCCAAAATGACCCAATTTTAGGGCTCTTATTCTGTATTCCTCGAATAATGGCTTTGCTGTTTTGTAGTGCCAGGCAGAGACATTAGAGACCCGATTTGTGTCGTCCCAAACTGAGGGTTTCCTTCGTATTTAAGGCCAAGATTTTGAGGAAAATATGTGCTTTAATTTTTCCTTAGTTTTGGTCAAATTACCTTTCGGGTAGGGCTAATATATTTCATTTCCGAAGAAGAGCAGATATGCAGTTCATAGCAAAAGGCTGCGTTTCCAGCTTTCAATATGACATGATCCATTTAAACGTATTTCTTGACGGTTTCCATGTAAAGAATCAGATGCTTTGCTTCCTGCCTTTTTATAGCTTTGCAATACTTTGGGATTTTAAGGGAGAACAAATGTGACATAAATTCACATTGAACCTTCAGACTTACCAATCAGCCCTTTCCCTTGGATCCTCAAGAGGTCGGACATATTTTTCCCCCTGCAATGTTCACAATGAAACCCATTTATTATTTTTTCTCCCTCTTCCCCCCTTCTTGTATTTTTGTAAGCGGTGGCATAAAACCCGCTGAGAGCTGGTAGACCTAATTGCGTTGAAGGTCTGAGCCCAAGATGCGATAGATTCTCCTACAAGACGCAGACAGCAACATGCTGCAGCATTCCCTATGCTTTATGCTAAAAATCTGCTTATGTGACTTCTCCGGAAAATAAATAAATATTTTCTCCTTTCATCCCCTCCCCGGGCCTATTTCCGAGCAGCATGCTCCTTGTCTGTCACAGATAATATGGGGATGAGATTTAGCTATTAAGGCGCTGCTCCCTCTCTCCTCTGCTTCCCCCCCAATTTGTGCGTTAAATGTGCACTAAGAAATGCAGAGTCCATGAGCAGGGGAAGAGATAGGGACGAGGTCAGAGCTCCTAATGCATTCGTGGCCTTTCCAGCCAGGATCCTCCCCACAGCTGAGTGTCTCTGGGTTTTTCCCGTCTTACTTATGGGGATCCTGTTCCTTCCTTGCCCTTCCCTTACAGCAGAACCTATCTCTGCCAGACAGCCGGCTCTTCGACCCCACGTCCACAAGCAGCCCGAGAAGACCACCCGAGTCCGGACTGTCCTTAATGAAAAACAGCTTCACACCTTGAGGACCTGCTACGCTGCTAACCCCAGACCTGACGCCCTCATGAAGGAACAACTGGTGGAAATGACTGGCCTCAGCCCCAGGGTCATCAGGGTCTGGTTTCAAAACAAGCGGTGCAAGGACAAAAAAAGGAGCATCATGATGAAGCAGCTCCAGCAGCAGCAGCCCAATGACAAAACTGTAAGTGGTTGCAGCCGCTTCGCTGAAGGGCAAATGCTCCTTTGATCCTTCCCGGTGCTGATCCTATTTGCGCTGGGTCTGGTTCTGCTCTGGATGACGTGGGGGCTCCCTTATTTCTCTACAGTACAGATGTGGGACGAGCTGGTTTGCCTCCAGATTACCCTAAGCATTGTTCATTTGTTCTGTTGTGAGTGCAATTAAACTAGACCACAGAGAGCAGTCTACAGAGCCTGCTCAGGCAACACGTGGCTTTGTGGGGCTGAGGATTCAGCGAGGATTAGAGCAACTACCCTGCACTATGAATTGTGACCTGTGGAGTTTATGGCATGTAATAAGCCGGGCAGTGTGTAATATTTATTTTGCAAATGCAGTGAACTCCTCGAGGGGGAAACGATTCATTCCCTTCTCTCCAGTGGGTTTACACACGAGGCAAAAGACCAGGAATCTGATGCATTTTCCTAGCACTTGATATACCTTTCACACTGGCATTGCACGATGGTGTGAGAGGGAGGGAGAGCTGAAGGTGGCAAGCGTAGTGGAAAGGTTGGATTCGTCCTCCTAGCTGCAGTATACTCATAAATAAACCCCCAGGTCCTACAGGTGAGCCACAGGCTGCAAACCAGGCTGCCTCCCTCTCCTCCAGGCACCTCCAGGGAAGCCCGCTCTGTCTCTCCGTTTTGTACCAATGCGGTTGGTTAGATCCTCTCCAGCAGAGTTTATTATTCCCCTCTCACTATATTGACTGACCTGAAAATGACTATTAATTCATACGGCTGCCTAGTTAAGCGGAATTTAAGGAGTTTCATTTTACCACGCTGGAATGCAATAAAACACGCCAACCTGAAGTTGGCTGCACAGTATTGGTGGAGTTATTTTGTGCCCAGGAGCCGGAGCCGGCAGGATACATGCCGCTTCGGAGAAATACCCAGATTGCAGATCACTGGCTATAGGGATCCGTGAACACAAACTACAACCTCAGCCCTTGTTCCTTCTGGTGCATCGGCATCTGGTGCACGCATTTAACAGTATTTTTTTAAGGCAACCGGGCAAGAAAAAATAGGAGGATTAAGAAGAAAGAAAGTAAACTTCCAGTGTGATAAATGCGGTGCATAGAATTAGGCCGCCCTAGCCTAGAACAGAGCAAGACATCCACAGCAGATTAACAAAGTAAATAAAAGCGACTGTATAGATAAGATAGAAAGCAGTTTATTGACTCAGCGCGTATATACAATAAAGTTAACCGAGCTCATTAACATCTTTGGGTCGGCTGTTTGCAGAACATCCAGGGGATGACAGGAACTCCCATGGTAGCTGCTAGTCCCGAGAGACACGACGGAGGTTTACAAGCAAACCCAGTGGAGGTTCAGAGTTACCAGCCGCCTTGGAAAGTCCTCAGTGACTTCGCATTGCAGAGTGACATAGATCAACCTGCCTTTCAGCAACTAGTAAGTGTCCGTTCCCAGGCGGGCAGAGAGCGGGGTGTGCCCCGAGCGTGGCGTGTCCCGTGGCGTGCCCCTCAGAGCCCCGTGGTCTCACTCAGTAAGCGGCTGAATAGAACAAAACTGAGTGTATGGGGGTTTGATCCGGAGCATATTGAGATCGATGGAGAGGCTCTTACTGACTCGAAAGGACTTCGGATCAGGCTCGGAACCCAGGGCCGACACGATCATTAAGCTCATCATGCTCCTAGTCAAATCTTACCAGGACCATTGCAATATTGTAACCCATTTTTACATACTTTTGTGATTACTAAAATTAGCCTCGTACTTTTTCCCCCATTTTGGCCAAAGATTGACTGCACCAGCGGGTTAATAATGCCATCCTGTGTTCTGGGCTGATGAGAGTGTTCATGGAAAAAAAAAAGAATGTAATTTAGCTCAACTGTCTAATTTCTTGTTGTGCATGTGCGGCTAGAGAGATACTCCTAATTACCCCTCTGAAATGATCTTTTATATTTAATGAAGGGAATTGTTAGTACATATTTCACATGCTAAAGCCAAACAATGTTAATGGAACTGGCTTAAACCAACAAAAGACAGACATTTAAGAATAAATTCTGTTCTTAACTCACTTCCTTATGCCTACGTCATTTGGCAGCTCATATGGGACCATATCATCTGCAATACTTAGGCCCAACAAGGTGAATTAAGGACAGAAGTTCAACCTTAACTCAATTTCCTGGCCTAAGTGTGTTTAAACCAGATCTTTAAAATAATAAGGTACGTTGTGTATGGTTTTTCAGTGATTCAAGTACTAATTAATAATGAAACGTTGCCATAGACAGACACTTTAGATTGATTTTCAAAATAAATCTTTTGGACCAATAAGGTTGGTAACAAGAAAGTATTTCCAGACTTTTCAGTGGAGTATTATACTCCTTCAGATGATGCATTTCTCCTGTTTTAACGCTGCAGTATAACATTCCAGCGGGAATGAAGCCTATGTCCATTGGGAATATCCTGCATTTTAGCAGTAGAGCCCCCTGGGTGCTGCCAGGCAGTTTAGTTCAGTTCTAGAGCAGCTTCTGTTCTCTCTGCTTCCACCAAGTTTTGAGGTAGACCTGCTTTGACTATGTTATGTGTTATAGGAACAGAAGACTTTAAAACCCTTTGATTGGGGACAAGGCCTAGCTATGTAGAAATGAAGCTCTTGATACTGGGATGTAAATCCAGGATCCTTTTATGGCAGTTTGGCCAAAAAGAAATTTTAAAAAATGTTAGAACAGGAGAGACTTGTAAACCTGGACCTGGCTGTGTTCATGGGCTTCTGTGTATACAGGGTCCTAGTCGAAGACTCCTCCAACTAAAAAGATGCAAAGGAGAATTTGAAAGGCTGGGCTTCCCAGTCATACACATCACCATCTAAAAAAATCTGTCCGGAAAGAGGAAAGGGGAGTGTAATCCATTTTGTCCAATTGATTCTTATTTAAGGTAGACCCAACTCCCCACCCCAGCCCACTAATAGAGGAAGATAGCTTGTTGCAAAACAAGCACCTTATGCTCATAGATCGTTGTCCTAGTTTCATTTTGTTATATGCACAAAGGAGAGGAGGGGGAAGTATCTTTGCAGTTTCATGTCAGAAAACACAGCAGCTCTTACATAATTGAACACACCAGGCTGCTGGGAATTCCATTACAATTAGAGCCTGCGATCTCTGGAAAGAGAGGCCTCATTAACCACCCCCATCCCTACCCCTTCACTATGGTTTTAATCATCTACTTGGTTTCCTAGATCCAAGTCGATGGGGTGGGTGGGGGGACCTCTAATTATCTGATGGGGATCTAGATTAAATGCGTGAGGTGCATGCTTCTATGATTTGACTTTCTTATTGTTTTTTCCCCTTGCTACCTTTTAATTGATAGTTCCATTTTTATTTTGGCAGGTTAATTTTTCAGAAGGAGGACCAGGTTCCAATTCCACCGGAAGTGAAGTAGCATCAATGTCCTCTCAGCTCCCAGATACACCTAACAGCATGGTAGCCAGTCCTATCGAGGCATGAGGAACATTCATTCAGTTTCTTTTTTTTTTTGTCTTTGTTTTTTCCCCCCATCCCCTTTGGAGAGAGTGGGAAAAAGTTATCACGTTGGGACTCCGAAACTAAAACAAACACAAAAGTATTTAACAACCCTGTAATGAACCTAACAAAGACCGCTCCATGAGAAAGCACGGAGTCTTGTTTGAAATGACAAGGTGATATGGTAGCAACACTGTGAAGACAATCAAGGGATCTTACTAGAATAATCATTTTAAACAAACAAACACAAAGAAAAAGTAAACGCGCTATTCAGTGATCGTAGGAGGATCGAACAGACGTTTTTAAAAACGTAGAGGATTTGTATTCCCGGATCTCAAAAAAAAAAAAAAAAAAAAAAAAAAAAAAAGAAAAAGACTGCACATCTTAGAGAGAAACCAAGATAGAGAGACTTTCTATCTAAATCCATCCTAATCCGAATGGTGCTGTTTCTATTCTGGTCATTGCCTTGCCAAAAAGGAGCTCCAGTAGATCACCCAACACCAGGAAAAAGACAATCTAGCGCCGCATGGCTGAAAGATTCATTGCAGGAAGGTGGAGCTGCATTGGTTTGCAATGGTTTCTTTTCTTTTCTTTACTTTCCCGCCCCCCTTTTTTTCTTTTAGTTGACTTTTAACGAGGGGTTGTTTCCTGGGTCTCTGATAGCATGTACTGTAGCTGGGGTTTTACTTTTGTTTCGTTGAGATCCATCCTCTATCAAGAAGTCTGAAGCGACTTTAAAATAGGTTTTTGAATTCCTATTTAAAAAAACAATTTATAAAAGCATTGCAACAAGGTATACCTCTATTTTGCCACAACGCGTTTCGGGATTGTGTTTGAATCGTGTCCGTCCAAGAACTTTCCCCCCCAAAGATGTGTATAGTTATCGGTTAAAAACGACTGTTTCTCTCTCTCTCTCTCTCTCTCTCTCTTTCTTTCTTTTCTCCCCCCCCCCCCCCCCACCTAAAGTCTTACATTTTTCCTATCTGTACTCCCGCCCCCTTTTCTCTCTGGAAATAAAGAGGAAAAAAGGAAAAAAAAATGTTTGCTCTTGCATTGCAAAATTATAAAGTAATTTATTATTTATTATCCGAAGACTTGCCACTTTTCTTGTCATTTGACTTATTTTTTTTGTTTGCTGAAGAAAAAAAAAAACCCAGAAGAAAAAGGTTGTACCGTGGTCTTTGAATTATATGTCTAATTATATGTGGTTTTGTCTTTTTTTTTTTTCCTTCTTAAATATTCTGTGAAATAAAAGCGCCATATGTAGAATGATTATATCTTCAGGACTATTTCACTAAATAAGCGTTTGGAATAGAGAAAATAAGACAAAAGGAAGGAAAATCCCCTCTTTTATATATTTACAAGTTAGCAGCTAAATACCTGAAATAAAATATTGCATGCAAATCAGGTCTTTCTCCAATACAGTGAGTGTGATATTTTATTGCAAGTATTAAGGATCGGCTTGTAAATTCCGTTTCAACAATTATATCAGGGCTAGATTGATGCCTTAGCTTTCAATTGATAACACGACGAGCTTTCCCGTTCCCCCTCCTCCCTTAAAGTGATATTACTCTAGGCATGAACTGACATCATGTTAAAACACGTAAAAACCCTCAGTTTTTCTGAGCTTTATTATTAAAAAAAGAAAAATAATAATAAAAAAAAGAAAACAAGTGCTGTATACCAAAGCCTGGTTGTTAAGATTGTTGAAGTGACCTGTATTTAAAGCATACAGATAAAAGGGAAGCATTTCGCTTAGCAAGTCAAGTATGATCATTATTTATCTGTGTCTGCTGTCAAACCGATTGAAAAATGCTGCAGGAAGAACGGGGCTGAGGGGATGTCTCTCTGAAATCGCACGATTGGCGTTTCTTATTTTCTTTTCACTTCCTTTCCCCCTCCCTCTTTTCTTCCCCCTTTTTTTTTAATTCGCAGGGAGGGGGTTGGGAGATGGTGGTGAAAGCTAGAAACGTGGGCGATTTCTTGGGGAAAAGCAGAGGGAAAAAAATAGGAAAGAGTTGTTTTTGCTCCAATTCAAGTATTCCCCTGTGCTCTCAGCCAGCACAGGACAAAGGCTCGCTTTAAAAAATCCTTAACAACTGGAATATACAGATTTCTAGTCTGACAAAGACAAGTTGGTTTGCATGATAGTTACTCCAAAGCCTCATGTTTTCTTAACATAACCTTCCTTTCTTTCCCCCACCCCCATCCCAACCCACTCCGAGCAAGCTAAGCTATAGACAAACCATTTCGACATTAGGAAAAAAAATAAGGTTAAAAAATGTCTAATAGAAAGATTTCGACTATCCTGATTAGAAAACTGGATTCATTTTGTATGCTCAAGTGTAATACATTTTTGAATACTTGATAAATATTTAAATAAATATGAAATCTACATTAAACTGTGTAACACTTATGTTTTCATACAGGAAGCCAGGTTTGGTAGAATAGGTTGAGGGGGAGGAGGGCACTGGTCCAGCGTCCCTGCAGTTGTTCCTAGTTATTGCTGGAAGGAGATTGTTTGGCTTTGGAGGCTTCAGACACTGAGGAGCATCTTTGCTGAAGTTAAACTGTAACCAGGGCCAAAACCGAGCGAGCCCTTAACTTTTTGTCTCTTGTTTTCGACAAAATCTGGCTGCAGGCTCTTCACGTGCCCATAGGAAACACCGTCTCCGTACACTGAAAATTCAAGCAGCACAAGGCTTGCGTGTTGACTGATGTGCTTAATTGGTGACAAATCATCCTGTTCAGCCCTTCTGGCTCAAGGCAATTGGGCAGAGTGGATTCATGGTTAGTCATAATGTTCCTGGGAGTTTTTCATGCACTGGCTCAAAAACTTTCTAGACAATGGAAAAAAATGAGGGAGACGGAGAGAGCACGGCTGTTATTGTCTGTGATCGCGGGCAGCAGAAAGGCTTTGTTTTGATTTTCACTTTTC